TAAGATAAATATAAATGTAGATAAAATTAAAATAAAAAATCTAAAAATGAAATATAAAACAACTGGGCTTAATTAGTTTGGGCTTGATCAAGTTAGGCCTAATTAGTTTGAGCGCCAATTGGTTCAGGCCTGGACTAAATAAAGTGTCTACAAAAACATAAGTTCATTATTTTTATAAAATTTTGGTTCACAAAATTACATTTATCGATGAATCTTTAATTAAAAAGTAAATAAATCAAATGTTCAGATGCAAATTTTAGAAAAAAAGTTAATTTTTATGTTTTTTTTAATATTTTTACAAATATGAATTTAATTACACAATCTTAAATAAATTTTCGTAAATAAAACAAATTAAAAGAAATTCAAGAAATAATTAAAATTTCCAAATACAAAAATAAAGAAGTATTTTAACCAGATTTATCGATCGCTTAAAATAATTAATATGCTTGCATAAACTTTTAGAAAATTTTAAGATGTTATTATCTAACAAATTAGTTTTAAATTTTATATAATCTAAATGTAAGGGAGAAAATAAGAAAGGGTGTTGGCTCTTCTTCATACATGAAGTAGTAGCTATTATATATTAAATATATATAATAAATGACATTTGAAAAAGTAAATATCATCTATTATTATAATAGAAAGAATAAATTTTAAATGTTAAATATATATATATATATATATATTATAGATGATGTTTGAGAAAGTAAACATCGTCTATTATCATAATTGATGACATTTGATCTGTTATTATACCAAATGACGTTTGAAAAAGTAAATGTCACATATTATCATAATAAAAGTATAAAATTTACAAGTTAAATATATATATAAATATATATAATAAATGGCATTTAAGAAAGTAAATGTCGTTTATCATCATAATAGATGATGTTCGAACAAATAAATGTCATCTCTTATCATAATAGATGATGTTTGAGAAGGTAAATGTCATCTATTATCATAATAGAAATTATAAAATTTACATGTTAAATAAATAAATATATTATAAAAAATGTTAAATAAATCAATTATTTAAAGAATTTTATGAATGTCACATCTTATTCATGTATCATCAAGAGTAAAATAGTAAAAAAATTAATTAGGTAATCTTAGATTGCTTAACCAAACACAAAAAACTTACTCTCTGTTATGCTAAACAAAACATAGGAATCTTTGATTCCTCATAATCTATCAAGTAAAATAACTTGGGAGAAATCACTTAACAATGAAAATCCTAAATTTCGTGAACCAAATGTCTTCTAAAAGTTTTCACCCCTCAATTGCAAATGAGCAATACTTTTTCAAAGCATGGTAAACAGTTTCATCGGATTGTCCACATCTAAAACATACAATGAACATATGCATAAGGATAACCAATAACAGGATAGTAATTAGGCTTCACACAACTTAACAAAATACACATATAAATAATTTTTAAATATTTATTTACAAAAGTATTATTTGATATATAAAAATAATTTTAATAATTAATTAATTTCACAAATATTAAATATATATTATTATAAATTTTAATCTAATATTTTTAATTATCATTTTCTCTTTTAATTATACTTCACCTTACTATTTGTGTGTTTACATTGAAACACATCATATATCCTATAACTAATTTTAATCTTACCATTACAAATATTACCATTACAGTAACTAATCTCACTGCCACTGTTATTTTTAATTTTATCAAAATCAATCTTATGTATTATTAATCACGACCTCAAAATGGAGAAACTTTCAAGATTTTTTTGGCAGAATTTCAAGCATTCAAATTGAAGAAAAAAATCTATCTAGGGTGATGATAATGGTAAATGTGATGATGGGCAATAGAAGAATGGGTAGGAGTATGATATTTACAGGTGCTTAAAATTTGATTTTGATTGAATTAATCCATCAGATTTATTTAATTTGGCTAGTCAATCAGTTATCGAATTAATTTTGATTGATAATTGAAACGATTTTAGAAAAATTTTGGTTAATTCATGTTTTTGAATTGAATTGATCAAATTAATCAAAACTTTAATTGAAATATAAAAAAATCCAAACATAAAAATAAAAATATATGAAATAACAATTTCATTTCATAGATTGTTGGAGTTTTTAACTAAATACTTTGTTATTTAAATATTTTATTAGATAATTTTATTTAATTTGTTTCAAATGTGAGATATTAAAAGTTTTAAATATAATTTAACTTAAATGTATTTCATTATTTGATTAATCAAAAAATTCATCAAATCGATCGAATTTAATTCAGTTAGTTAAATTTTGAAATTAATAAATTCAGTTTGTTTAATAAAAATAAAATAATATAATTTGATTAATTTAATTTTAAATAATTTAATTTGAAATTAATCGCATCACCATAAATAATGATATTAAATAAGCAAAAAGTGAATGCAAGATTGTAAAAAATGAAGCATTTTACTTATAATTCTTTTTACTACAATCATATAATTATCTAATCACAATAAAAAATTATGTAATAGTCCACTATTTATAAGTGTGGGCTCTATATACAATTTTTATTATTCCCACATAATTTTAAATTAATTAATTGTATTATACTAATTATAAATGATATGCTTCCATAAAGAACAATTTCATATCTCATTGCCTTTTTTTTCCTAACAGCATCTATTCTATCAACATCCATTACAGCTGCAAACGAGTTTAAAATCTAATAATGAATAGATTCTATAACATCGTATAATGATAAACAAATAGTAAACAAAAAATTTGGATAATATAATATTTACAGGTAAGAAAAAATAGGTTTATAGTAATGACATACCTGTTTTGTCAAGCTTTCAAATATTCAATCTTGTATACAGAACTCATCAAAATGTTTTGCAATTTGTTTACTTCAAACAACGAAATGGAATGGTTATTGATTTTATGCATTAAATCAATAAATACACAATCTGCTTCTTGCAATGCCTTTTGAATTTCTAATCTATGTCTTTTAATTGATAAATTCTGAAAAAAAAAATTTTTCAATTAGCAACTATGAGCAGCAATAAATCTTAAAAGTCTTAATAAAATGGTCAAAATTGCTTACAAATTGACAATTTCCTATTTTAAAGAAGGCAAATATACTGAGTAAATGAAGGGACATAATTATTTTTTTAAAGGTTTTTTAAGATAAACTTTGAGAAGATAAAAAAAAAAAACAACATTAAATCGACATTCAACATATGGGGATAAATGGTTGGATAAGAAAAGAGAAGAGATTTCGTCATTTTCTTTTATTAAATGAGTTAAACTCTTTCATTTTTCTACATGAAGGATACGATATGATAATGATGAAGGAAAAACCAAATCTGTTGAGAAAACCAATGCTTGTTATAATTAAATGGTATCTAGTTTAAACATCTCCAGAAGAACACTTCCAATTGAAAAATGAAATGAAGTAAATGTAATAATCAATAGACATTAAAAAAAGGTTGGGTAAAGGAGTAAAAAGCATATATAATCAAACAAATTCAAAAACTACTTATATTTAATTGTTTATATTTAAAAAGTAAAAAAATGCCTTTAATTGTAATATCACACAAATAAATTGTATTAAAAACTTTATATGTGATATTTTTTAAGAAAATTGTAAGTTTAAATAAAATCTAATATATATATATATATATATATATTATATAACAACATACATAAATAAGTTTTTACCACATGAACGTTTATATGAACAATTCTCTTAAATGATACATAAGATATTTAAAAAAAAAAATAATTTCTTTTAATTACAAATTAGATAATTTTAAATTTATTCAAATATCAGAATTATTTAAATTATATTTGAAAATTAAATTAATTTAGAGATATATTTGTTAAAATTAAAAATATGAAATATAGATTTTATTTTTTAATAAACAATTTTAATTATTTACCAAATAACCTTATTTAAAAAATTATTTAATTATCAAAATCTTTCAAACATATTTAAAAATTATAAAGATTAAATTTATCCAAATATTTCAACAATTTTTTTTATATTGATTTAAAAAATTATATTTTAAAAAAAATTACGTAATACATTAAAAATTCAAATAACTTTATGTAATATTTTGAAAATTCAAAAAATTTTCATCTTAAATTTTTAAATAATAAGATAATCAAAACCATTATATTCATTTGAACTCTAATTATCAAATTTATAGTTCAAATAAATGCAAAAAATTTAATATTATCTTTATCACTTATTATATCCATTTTAAAATTTAAAAAATTAATTTAAAAATTATTTGTTTAATCTTAATTATCACTAAAAAATTTTCTATAAATTTAAGACTACAAATGTAATGTGTTATACATCAATTTTTTTTTTTAGTAACTTTTTTAATATATATTCTATTACTATTAAAATTTATTTTTTTATTTATAAATTTTTTTCAAGATATATTTTTTTATTATTATAGTTTCATTCTTATGAAAAATAACATTTTTTCCATTTTATTTTTTTTACATATTTTCTAATATTTTTCATATTTTGTATAATAATTTAGTCAAGATTACAAAAATGAAAGTATGTTAATATTTTTTTATTATTTAATTTATCATTCAATAATATATATTTATTTTTTTAAGAAAGACATAATTTATTTTTATTTGATATAATCTTATAAATGTATAAATATTATTGCAAACAAAAATATTCAAAGAAAATATATAATTTTTTTAATTATTTTCATAAAATTTATTTTTAATAACAAATCAATATATATATATTATATATGTTATGAGTTTGAACAATTTAAATATAACTTGAAAAAAACTAATTTATATATATTAAATAAATAAAATTATTTCATATATCGCATTAGTTATAATTTAATTATATTAAATAATAATTATAAAAATATATAGTAATTGAATAACAAATCATAGTAATTATATTATTACTAAAATAAAATAATAAATTTATTTAACAAATCTGACTTTTTGTTAATAAAAATTTAACATTAATTAAACCGTTTTCTGCTTATTTATTCTTGCTCTGTCCCGAAACCCTAAGGCCAAACTGAAAAATGTGTAGCCTCTCGCCCGACCTCATCCCCGAAATCTTATGCCGTGTTGGCGTGGAAGATCTTCTACGCTTCAGGTGCGTTTCAAAGCCATGGTGCTCTTTGATTAATAGCCCTGATTTCATCAAGCTCCAACTGTCCTACTCCCTCTCAACCAACACCAATCTCTCTCTTATTCTTAGAAGCTCCTACCTCTTCTCTGTCAACTTTGACTCACTCCAAACAGCCCAAAAACTCTACCACCCACTTGATGAAAACGATGAGGGTGAAGGAACTGAAATATTGGGTTCTTGCAATGGTTTGCTGGCTTTGTGTAACGGTGAGGAGGAAATATGTCTGTGGAATCCTTCAACAAGAAAGTCCCTGATGTTACCTGTTACCGAAATAGAGTTTCCACCCTGGTTTTGCTGTGCCCATTTCATTGTTTATGGATTGGGTTATGATCCTGTTTCTGATGACTACAAGTTGGTCCGGATGGTGCAATTCTATGGCAAGTATGTTGACTCTTTCGCTTCTGAAGTTAAGGTTTTCAGCTTGAAGACCAACTCTTGGAGAAGGATCAAGGACTTCCCTTTTTATCTTAAATACAAGCGAGCGTATGGGATTCTTGCTAACAATGCTTTGCATTGGGTCGTTTCTAAAAAGCCCGAGTCGGATACTGAGAGCTTTGTTGTTGCTTTCGATCTCGGGACTGAGGAATACCGTGTGGTGCAACTGCCTGATTGTTTAGATAAGGGGTTTCATATGAATGTAAAAGCCTTGGGAGGTTGTCTTTGTATGATTGCTAATTATTGGAAACCTTATGTTGTTGATATATGGATGATGAAAGAGTATTGGGTGAAAGAATCTTGGACTAAGTTGTTATCTGTGAAGCAAACTGAGGTCGCTTTGTGTTTTGATTTTGTGTTGCCTTTGGCCTATTCGAGATGTGGTGACAAAATTTTGTTGAACCGGGATGACGAGAAGTTTGTTTGGTATGACCTGAGAAGGAAAAGAGTTAAGAATGTAAAGATTCAAGGTGCTCCAAGTTCATTTGAAGCGGAAATGTTGGTTGGGAGCCTTGTCCCTCTTAATGGTAATGGTGCAATGCTCAACAAGAAGAAGCAAACTGATAAGAAAAAGCAGAAAAAGAACAAGAAGGGGTAAAATTCTTTCCTCTTGTTCAACTTCTGAACTAAATTAACTGGATTTGAATTGAAATTTTACATTTTGTAAGTTCTGATTTTCCTTGCCTAACTCTCGGTCTAAGTGATTCACTACTCAATAACAGAACACAGATTAGAATTCTGCCTCTATTATGCTGTTATGCTGGACTTTGACAGAATACTTGTGTAGTTGTGTGTGGTGTGTGCGTGTAGGTGTGTAATGACCTTGATGCAATATGACGCCCCATATATTGGTTTTTGTTTTGTTAGGAATGATTTCTTGTCGCAAGGGTTTCACTTGGTGTTATAAGTAGAAGCAGAAAAAGGAGAAAAGAAATGAGGTAAATGCTTACCAAAGTTTCTATATTTTAATTAGTTTTAGTGTACTGTTACAATTAATGGAAGAATAGGTCAGGCTTGATACGTTTAAAATTTAGTTCAATGGGTTTCAGAGTATCTTATAAACCTATTGTTACAGCACTTACCTCCTATATCTTGTTTCCATTTTTCTTTCCTCAGATTATGGAAGGGACTAAGTATTAGCTTTGCACATTTATTACTATGTGTAAACACCATTTTTTTTTTAAAATTTTTATTTTTATTATTAAAATTTTTTTTTCTTCCCATTTCTGCGTTTGTCTTCTTCTTCCTTTCTTTTTCCTTTTTTTTTCATCCTTATCTGGTTCAAATCTAGTACACAATCCTTAAAGTCAAAAGCACCACCGATAGCTGCCAACGACCGACAAGCCACCAATCACGGACGGTAGGTGTGATTTTTCAGTTGAAAAATGGGATTCGAATCTCAAAAAATCTGAGATTTGAATCCCAACAAGCTCTATAAATAGAGCTTGCAAACCAGATCAATAAAGAGGGAGGGCAGAACGGAAGCAAAAAAAACGGCCAAAAAAAAAAGAAGGGCAGCTTCTGTAAAAAAAAAAAAATTTTGCAAAAACACAAAAAAAAAACAAACAGTCCTCTGGAACGGGGAACCCAGCGCCAGAAAGCCACCTAAAAAAAAGAAAGAGATCAGTCGATTCTGTAAAAAAAAAAAGAGATCGAAACTTTGAGCTGTTTCCGGCAAAAAAGACACCGGATCTGGAAAGATCGCGTCAAAGAGAATTTTCAGAAGTATTTTGGCCTTTTCCAGCAATCGAAAACCACCGACGCAACTGCAAGCGGCAAGCCAGACGACGACCGGAACGGTGGTCCGGCTACCGTCGGAGGATCTCTCTCCCAGCTCTCCCTCTCCCTCTCTCTTTTTTTTTTTTTTCTGAAACCAAACCAAATGACCAAAAAAAATCTTTTTGAACCTTTTATATAAACTGTCAATAGCCAAAACGACGTCGTTTCAATAAACGTCCAAAACGATGTCGTTTTAACCCTGAGGATCAGCGTGTCAACCCGCGACCCGACCCGTAACCCGCTTCTTCACCAGCCTGTGACCGGTCTGACTGGATCGAACCGAACCGCACAAGCCGAACCAGACCGGCACTAAATCGCCCAGACCGAGTCGAATCGTCGAACCAAACCGCGCGTTGACCAGATCGTTGACCAGTCCGGTTCAGATAAAAATTTTTTTTTTTATATATTATTTTATTAATATTTATATATATTAAAATATTTATATTTGTTAGATTAAATGATGAAATTGTGATTAAATTTTTTTTTATGTAATTATGTTAATAAACTTTAAAAACAATAATATAGAAATAATTTTAATAATAATACTAAACTAATAAAAAATAAGAGAAAAGAAATTTTTATCCGACGATGAGATTCAAAGGTATTCCGAGTAGTGATGCCTACGAAATCTCTAGGTGAGAAGATTTTTTTTTAAAATACTACCAGAGTATTGGAGTATTTATAAAAAAATTTTCAATACAATAAAAATTTTCTTTTTTTTTAAAAAAAATAATAAATAAAAATTGATTAATATATTAAAATATAAGTAATAAAAATATGAAGAAAAGACATTTAATCCAATGATGGATTCTAAAAGTATTCCGAGTAGAGATGCTTTAAGAACTCTCTAGGTGAGAAGATTTTTTATAAAATATTACCAGCGTATTGGAATATTTATAAAAAATCTTCAATATGATTAAATTCCTTTTTTTCTTCAAAATTTCATTTTTAAATTAAAAAATTAATAAAATAATTAATAAAATTTTTGAATGAGAATAAAATGTGTGCATAAACATGAAAATATTTTGCATGGCATGCATGACATAATTTCTTACGAAAAATAAATTTAGATCTCCAAAGATGAGATTTTAAAAGTATTTCGAGTAGAGATGCTTTAAGAAATCTCTAGGTGAGAAAGAGTTCTTTTAATGTTATCAATGTACTGAAACATTTTAAGAATTATTTTAATAAAAAGGTTTTAATTTATTTTTCTCGAGAATAAATTTTTTTAACATGACATTTTCTTACGAAAAGTAAATTCGAGCCTCCAAAGATGAGATTCTAAAAGTATTTCGAGTAGAGATGCTTTAAAAAATCTCTAGGTGAGAAAGAGTTCTTTTAATGTTACCAACGTACTGGAACATTTTAAGAATTATTTCAAAAAAAAAGGTTTTGATTTATTTTTCTCAAGAATAATTTTTTTTAAATAAAAATCAAAGAAATTATTTTTTTGAATATTGAAAATAAGACTGTTTGTATCAAAATCAAAAGGATAACACGTTGTTAATTGGTACCGTTTTTTAACGGGCGTTGTGGGGGTGCTAATCTTTCCCCACGCGTAATCGACTCTCGAACCCAGACTGTTTCGCAGACCGTAAAATTATCTTTTTAATAAATTTAATTAATTTAAGATTTCATTAAACAGATATGTTTTAATAGGTGGTCAATCACACCTAGCCAAAAAAAAGATTGGTGGCGACTCCGTTATTTTTTTTATTTTGTTTCCAAATTCGTCGGGCGGACACAAAACCATTACGACAGCTTGGCGACTCCGTTGGGGATGTAGCCTTTTGTTTTTGAGAGTCAAGCCAAAATTAACTACTTGTTATCCTTTAATTTTGATTTAAATAGTCTTAATCAAATTCTTAAATTTTTATTCTTCGTTTTTAGTAAAAAAAAACAAAACAAAATAAATCAAAAATAAAAAGCAAAAAAATTCACACATTTCTCTTACTATACCTCTTATATTTTATTTTTTCTGTATATATTACTGTCAATAAATTAGGATATATTTGCACACAATGGCACGATGCATCTCATACATGAGCTCTATACCCGAGCTCCGTCCTTTATAGGAGGAAGTAAAGTACCTATTGCTCTCGTGAGGTGATAACCTCCGTAATGACAAGCGAAATACTTTCACTCGAATTGAACCTTTTCGTTAGTAGGCTGTAATGGGTGAGGATCGGGATGCCTTACTAGTCCAATATGGACGACAGTGAGGAACAATTTGGGAACCTTTAGACCCTGTCAATCCAAACTCACCATATAATAAGCCTAGGAAACTAGCCTTATGTAGAGCCTCATCCACCTTTTTGTAGAAAACACCTAAGAATAAAAGTTGTGTATAATACAAAACAAAACAAAACAAACAAAAAAATCTAAAAAAAAAAAAAAAAAAAAAAACAAAAATGTTTTTTAAACCATCCTCACACTAACCAATTTTGTTTCTTTTTGCATTAATCATATCATACAGTTTTGCATCAAGATATTTGCTCTAGGACATTTCTCCCAAGAAGTTTTCATGGATCCCATAGAACTACAGATTTGCTCATCCTCAGTCAGTGTGCCATGTGAGTCGTATAATGAAGTACATATTTGGTCGAAAGAGGCTCAACAAAAGAACGGAGATTGTTTGCCTACCAGTTATGTGTCTAAGTTACCCGAGAAGGTGCATTTAGATCTCACACAGAATGATTTAAAAGAGTTAGCTGCTGTCTGGGGTCAGTTAAGTGAAGAAAGAAAAGAAAGGCTTTTGCAAAAAGTATGGGCAGATTGCATCCCTCATTTCAGTAGTGGTTGATGAACAGTTGGTCAAAGCAGCTATACAGTTTTGGGATCCATCCTATAGATGCTTCACTTTTAATCATGAAGATTTTGTGCCAACCATCGAGGAGTATTCGATTTTGCTCGGGATAGAACTATAATATCCAGATAAAGTATTTACCCGAAAGCCAAAATCAGGTTATCGCAAAAAGTTAGCCAAGCTTATGGAGGTTAAAGTAGAAACCATTGATTCTTTTGTGAAGTCTAAAGGTGAACATCTCGGCATTCGTTGGGACTTTCTCCGAAATTTCATTCAGGAGCATTTGGATAATGATCAAGGTATGGATGTGTTTGCTCTAGCATTGTATGGCATGCTAATCTTTCCGAAGACTTTGGGTTACATTGAGATAACTGTGGTAGACTTTTTCGAGCAAATTAAAACCTAAACAATTAATCTCGCTCCAGCAGTCCTAGTCGAAACCATCAGGTCATTGAATTTCTGTTGACGAAATGGGAAAGGTCGATTCATAGGATGTGCATCTCTATTATACGTATGGGTTAGAAGTCATTTCAAATGTGGGAAGAGTGCATTTTCGAAACCATATCTTCGAAATAAGGCACCATTCGAAGAGTTTTGCAAAAGCCAATGGCCGATATTAAAGACTAAGGAAGAATGGGTCCTTTTCTTGCGAAGGATTACTGGGGATGAAATCGAATGGATGGCGTCTTGGATGCCTCGTGTGCCCTTGTTGTATCGTAGAGGAAATGAGCCATGGATTCCGTTATTAGGGCTATGGGGCATTGTAAGTTACGTTCCATTGATGGCACTTAGGCAATTTGGGGCAAAACCGTTACGACACTCTGGTCTGGAAATTAGAAAAGAGAAGCAGTAGTTTTTTTGTATGGTTTCTTTCTTTTGAACCAACTTGCTAGAACAGATTTTGTCTTGTGAATGGTAGTTCATATATCCCTTTAAGTATGTTTCAAGCCCTATGTAATTAAGTCTCCTGATTTGGATCCTGTTTTATTTGAATGGCATGTCCATAGATTTTACTTGCATGAGCTTCATAAATTTAGTACCTCTTCATAATTTCATTAGAAAATGGCATGAGCCATGAAATATGGGTGCATCTCATCAAGGAGGACGTGAAGCATGACTCTAAAATTCCTTTGACTTGGTTTAAACCATAATTATATTTGGAATTTTAAATTGTTTGATGCCTGATTACGTCCCTAGATTCTACTGATCTTTATTAGTAGTAAGCAGTATGTTATTTGATTGTCCAATCTCCTATGCTTCTGCAATGTGTTTATTTCTTTTCCTCTTTCTTGGTTATTTTTAAAACCTCAGTTGCTCTTTCTGGATCTTTTAAGCCATGGTGATGTTGCTTTTGTGTTGTATCCTTCCCCATCTAAGTGGAGAAGCTGCGCCAAGGCAAGCTTGATACACCCTGTAAAATATCCGTTTCAACTTGTCAGCTGAGACATCTACAACCTTGCAACTAAGTGCTGAACCAAAAGATACATAGTTTTTCGTATAACAAATTGTATGTAGATAGATAGATTAATCTTCAAACCAGAACAAAATATTTATCTCAGATGATGGTTAACTGTCCAAGAGCGACCTAGGAAGGGTATGGTCCATTCTTTCAACTTAGGCCAAAAATGATTTTTATTCTTTTAGTGCACTTGGAGGAATTATAAGTACTCTAATGAAGTTTAGTTTTATTTTAAAGTTGAAACATAATAGATTTTGAAGCCGTTGTTAGATTATCCTTTTCTTTTTTGTCTTTATATCAATCTCTTGTGCCAACATAACTAAATTGAACCACATAACTTCTACTAATGTTATTGGTATGGTACTGGTACCGACCATCCATCAATACGTATTGATTTTGAGGAAAATTAATATATCTAAGTTAATGTATCGTTTAATTTTGTATATTGACTTGTATCGATTCATATCAGTTATTTTTTATGTATTTTTTTTTTGTTTTTTCAGAAAATAATATATAAAAAAGATAATTTTATCGTAAAATATTTAGTGATTTGATTTCATTAATGCAAAGTAAAGTCAAACAAGAACTTTATTATATTTTGCGATTGTTCAATTCATTCGGTTGCACATTATAAATGATGAAAGCGAAATAAATCTAAAAATTTTTAACATTTAGAGTGTGCCTTAAAATCCTATTCTCTTGTTTGATGACTTCCATTTTACACTTTCTTGATCTTACTAATACAACATCGATTACATCTAGTATTTGATAGAGGGAAATTTTGGGTTTTATTTGAACAACTTAACGTTGAAAAAACCCCAACACCATGACCTATGTCAAACCACAACTAGCCACAACAATTCGGCCTTCAACCACCATTAATGGAGCAGCTAGAGTCTTGCGTCTATAGTGCATCCTACCAAAAAAAAAAAAAAAAGTAAGCATCGAGTGTTAGAGACTACCAAATCCCAATTGTGCATCAGCCAGCAACACGAGCAATCTCTTCATTGAGACATATAAATCCCAGTTGTGTCCTTGACATGGGTTTTGTTCTCCAATCTCAAGCTTGCCATCTCCCTCCCTCACAATTTACTCTCTTCTTCGTCTTCTGTGTTCTATTTTGCTTTAGCGGTAAAATTCCTTCATCAGTTCACAACGGTAAAAATTACAAGTAAGGCTGCAGTTTTTCATTTACCAAATCATGGCAACTGATGATATAAGTGACATACTTTATTTCATTTAATTTAATTTAAAATTTAAAGCTATCCATTTCAAAAGGCTTCTAAATTTTCAAATTTGGACGGTACTAAAGTGGTTATGTTTAATTCATTAATAATATTTGAAATATATACACGGTGCATTAAATATAAATTTTTTTATTTTTAAAATTTTATTCATAATCAATCCATAATTATATTCTCTTAAGTATTCATAGGTATTTCTAAATTTGATAATTTATGTATTATATTTTATTTATTTATAACAAATATATGTGAAATATAAAAATTATTGTATTATAATTTATATTGATAAATTAAATATGAAATATATTTTTTATTTTTTTATCAAATTATATATATTTTTAATTTCAAATCATATTATTTTTATATCCAATCATCCTATAATATCTAAAATTATAAATCTAATTGTTTTGTTTTCTAGAGAGAGACTTGAGACTTATAAGTAGTTAGCGGCGAAGGACTGAGGTTAAGAGTAAAAATTGAAAGATTAATCTTGTCCATTAAAATCAATTAAACCACGTGGCAATAATCTAAAATGGTATTGACCATTACTTGAAAAGAGTTTCAGTGGAGGGGAGTCGGACGCTATAGTTTGAATCTTAAAGGCAGCACCAAATTCGAGTTAAAAGAGGAATGATGAATTTTGAATCTTAAAGGAAAAGTCAGTTACAAGCAAACAACACATTGGCATGATGATAAATAATTCCAATTGTCATTAATTTTTATTGGGATTTTTATTTTTATATTTCACAAATAATAAAAATAACGGAACCCTAACTTGAACATAAGCACAAAAAGATCCAAACAAAGATGTCAAACTGTGACCAACTTTTGACCTCACCAATGTTCTTTGTTTTGGATTAATCTAAAATGTTGCCTTTATAAAATGTATTGATTATGATCTAATCATCCATAGTTATAACTCTAATCACCCTGCAAATTTCGACTTGGTTTGGTAAGTGTATCCTTTTCAACTATCCTCATTTTTTCCTGTAATCCTTTTTTTTTTTTTTTACAGAAAGGAAAACAAAATTTTGAAAAGTATTTTTTTTTTCTGTTGTTTTCAAAAAGCAGAAAACTACATTTCTATTTTTTAATTTTTTATATAATACATTTAGAAAGCTTTATTAATGATTTGGAAATAACAATAAACAGAGAAACAAACCAAAAATAGAAACAAAATTTAGTTTTTACCTTTTTTAAAAAATTAATTTGGGGTTTTTTCAGGTCGTTTAGGAAGAAAATAATTATGAAAAAATAAAGGAAAAAAAAAAAAAACAGAAGGGTTCTTCTTCTGTCTACCTCTTTTCCATCGTTGAGAGAAAGAAGAAAAAAGAGGGAGGTTTGAGAGAGAAAGTCTTTTTGACTCTTCTTCTCTCTGTATCTCTCTCTTCCTTATTATCTCTTTTAACTTTTTTTTTTCTGACATTGAATCTCCTTCCTTTCAGATTTCACCCAAAATATAGAAAACCATTTTAATTTTCAAAACCCTTTGGGTTTTCCTCAGATTAATTTCTCAGTGCCCAAAATTGTCAGAAAAAATTGGTTTAGTTTAATTTCGTCCTTTTTTTTATTTTAAAACAAATTTGTCATCTTTGTTTAAGGTGGTCCATTTTCTTCTTGTTGGAGAGGGTTGTTTGTAGAGAATATCACTTTTCTGGGTTTGTTTCTGTCTGCGAAATACCTTTCAAAGTTCAAATCTTCCATCTTTCTAGGAAGTTTCCTTTTTTATTTTTTCTTTAATTCGTATTAAAAAAATCGTTTTTTTTTTTCTTGAAGTTACTTGAGGTTGTTGATCTAAGATTTTAATTTTGGCTTATTGATGTATGCTGACCTCATAAGTTTTTTTTTTTTTTATCTGGATTCATTATTTTATCTGCTTTACTAATTGGGATTTCATGAAATTTCAGGAAATTTAAGAAAGTTGAGAGCTGTTGCTGGTTTTAGAGCTGCTTTTGATTCATGGGAAATTGCTGTGCTACCCCTGGTTCTCCAGTTGAGAATAATAAAAAGGGGAAAAACAAGAACCAGGCTAACCCATTTTATGGAGATGATTATGCTGTCACTAATGGATCTGCTACTACGTTCAAGCTAAGGGTTTTGAAGGAACCTACTGGTCATGATATTTCAGCTCAATATGATCTAGGCCGTGAGCTGGGGCGTGGTGAATTTGGGGTAACATATTTGTGTACTGATGTGAACTCAGGTGATAAATTTGCTTGTAAATCGATATCCAAGAAGAAGCTTAGGACCGCAGTGGATATCGAGGATGTGAGAAGGGAGGTACAGATAATGAAGTATTTGCCTAAGCATCCTAATATCGTTACATTGAAGGATTCTTATGAGGATGATGATGCTGTGCACATTGTAATGGAATTGTGTGAGGGAGGAGAGTTGTTTGATAGGATTGTTGCAAGGGGACACTACACTGAACGAGCAGCTGCAGGGGTTATGAGGACGATTGTCGAAGTTGTTCAGGTTGAATTCTGATTCCTGAATGATCTTTCTGTTGTTGAATTGATATAGTCTTGCATTTCATGTTTATGGTCATACATGTGTTCCATACAGTTCTTCCTATATGTTTGCTAAAAAAACTGGTTTTAGCATTACAGGAGCCCCAGTTCTGCTCTTGCATTTTTGTTTCTAATTATATTTGTTAGTGATAAATGAGTACATTTTCATATTGATTTTAACCTCTTTGAAGAGGAATGGTAAACCAAAAATATTTGCTAGGTTGAATTTTTGTTGGTTTGGTGTATAATCCACCTTTTTGGATCTCTTTTGCTCTTAATAATCGGTTTGGTAGATTGGATTTTGTCATTTGGTGTAAAATCCACATGTCTGGACAATTTTAGGCATTCCTGCTGATTGCTTATCTTGATGTTTTTAAAAGTTATTTGTGATAAAAATATTTAAAATATATGTACGTGTAAGCTCATGTTAAGAAAGTAATAAGGATGTTTCTAATTACCATACAACTATGGCTGTGTGGACTCCCGAATTGCTGTTAATAATAAATGAACTCCTTACTCATTTGATGACAACCTTTTTTTCTCTTCACATTTCACTGTCTACATACCTGTATGCAATTGCTTTCTCTTTTCTCTATATGGATGATGGTGCTTTTATTTCTGACGAAAATAAATAACCTGGTCTTCTGTATGCAATTTATGTTGCAGGTGTGTCATAAACATGGAGTCATGCACCGTGATCTCAAACCAGAGAATTTTCTGTTTGCTAATAAAAAGGAAAATGCCCCATTGAAGGCAATTGATTTTGGGTTGTCAGTCTTATTTAAATCTGGTATTGCATATTAACTATTGACTATTTGAGCTTTATAAGTGTTTCTCCCCTTTTCCATCTGTGATGAAAATTAAATTTGAACTGCTTTAGTCATATCCTTTTTATATTATGCTTAAGCAGCTCAAGTTTGCCTCAAGAATGCTCTTTTTAACAGGTGAGCGATTCAATGAGATTGTGGGAAGTCCATATTATATGGCTCCAGAGGTTCTTAAACGTAATTATGGCCCAGAGGTTGATGTTTGGAGTGCTGGAGTTATCCTCTATATTTTACTTTGTGGTGTCCCACCATTTTGGGCAGGTTAGTCTTTCAATTTTTTTCGACTTTTCCTTTGTTTATTTGACTTCATGAAGGTTAGTGATCAAGATAGCTTTAAAGTTAGTGTGTGCTTTCAGAGACTGTGGGCGAAGATAAGAGAGATATCAAGAAAAAGTTTTCTTTTAAAACTGTTTAATATTATGTGATCAAGAGTTTGATGTATTTTTTTGCATGCATTTACCTATCTTTACTCTTATGTTTTTAGAAAAATAGATATAAAAAACATTTGTCATGTTTTCATACAGAGACTGAGCAGGGGGTGGCACAGGCAATTATTCGATCTGTTATTGACTTTAAGAGGGACCCCTGGCCTAAGGTTTCTGACAATGCAAAGGACCTTGTAAAAAAAATGCTTAATCCTGATCCAAAGCAGCGTCTTACTGCTCAGGGAGTGCTTGGTAACCTTCTGTTATCTTAGGTGCTTTACTTATGTTGATATGTATTGCCTTTATATAAAAAATTATCCAAGCTATTGCATGCAGAACATCCATGGTTACAGAATGCCAAGAAAGCTCCCAATGTTCCATTGGGTGAGACTGTGAAAGCCAGGCTCAAACAATTTTCTGTAATGAATAAGCTGAAGAAGAGAGCTCTAAGGGTAATACTTATAATATCTCCTCTTATAGTTTATCTACTTCTCAGTGACATGATACAATTTTTTGGGGCTAGGTAGGAACTGGCTTATTATTGGTTGTATACACCTATAGTTTCTACTTTTAATAACTGTACTTTGGAGTTTTCTTTATTTGCCAGGTAATTGCTGAGCATTTGTCAGTGGAGGAAGTAGCAGGCATAAAAGAGGCATTTGAAATGATGGACACTGGAAAACGAGGCAAAATAAACCTTGAGGAGCTTAAGATGGGGCTTCAAAAGCTTGGCCAACAGATTCCTGACGCAGATTTGCAGATCCTAGTGGAAGCTGTAAGATTATTTGTGCCTGACACCACAATTTTTTGTTTAATCACTGCAGATCTAAGAACTAATAATATGACTAATACAACTGATATATTTGAACTTTTATATTGTCTTTAAACATTTGAAATCTGTAACTAATTTGACTTCACCCAAGGGGAAAACCAAAGAGAAAAACATGGAATGGGTTTTGTTTTTTGGGGGGACTAAGCATCATTATTCTCTATTATTCTCCTACTTGATTCTTCTTTTGGGAGACACTTATCGCATAAATTCTATATTATGCTCTTCCAGTCTGAAATCATGAAGCAGTTTCCAGAGTTTGACCATATTATGTTCTATGACTAATGTTTCATATTTAGAATTTCCAGTTTCATCAATGGAATAACTGCAACCTGCTTTTAACAGGCTGGTGTTGATGGTGATGGAACTCTGAATTATGGAGAGTTTGTAGCTGTTTCAGTTCACCTTAGGAAAATGGCCAATGATGAGCACTTACATAAAGCTTTTGCCTTCCTTGATCTAAATAAAAGTGGTTATTTAGAGATAGAAGATCTGCGAGATGCGTTAAATGATGAAGTTGACACCAGTAGTGAGGAAGTTATCAATGCCATTATGCAAGATGTTGACACTGACAAGGTGATTAGTACCGTATAAATAATTTCATGTTTAGTAATAGTGGATTTAATTTGAACTTATCAAAACTTCATCTTGATATTTTGACCTCGAAATATCCAAGGCCTGATCTTATGGTGAAGCCGTGAATCTTCTATCACTATCCCTTCCAAAGTTGGTTTCCTTTGCATGACTGAACAATCTTTTGTTCAATGTTGTCTGTTTGTTCTTTGCATATTCAGATAATTGTACCTCTATGTCTTATATTATCAGTGGAAACCTAAAACAACCACCCTACTTTTCATACATTAGCAACCTGGTGAGTTTGATGCATTCATCTTATCAAATCCACTTCTTTTCAGCAATTATACTAGTTTCTGTATTGCACCTCATCCATTGGCTTTCTGCTATAGATTATTGAATTCGGATATATAAAGAGCTACTTATATGCATCATTTTGCTTTATGTATGTGCAAATCCTGTATGTATTGTGTTTAGCGCTTGGATACAGGTCTCAATGTGGTTCTTCTTTAAAACCATTGGGTCCAAAACATCTGGAAGAAGTTTTATCTTGTCGTTTGATTGGAATTTAAATCTTACTCATATATTGCAGGATGGACGCATAACTTATGAAGAGTTTGCTGCAATGATGAAGGCTGGTACTGATTGGAGAAAAGCATCCAGACAATATTCGCGGGAAAGATTCAACAGTCTAAGCTTGAAGTTAATGAGGGATGGTTCATTACAGTTAGCCAATTGAGTATAAGTCGAATGGAGAATTAGAAAAAGGAACTAATGTTGCTGTGGAAAAAAGAGAGAATTTCCTTGCTTTTTGCTTGGTTGATAAAAATTATTGTCAATTTCTTTTCTTTTTATTCCCAATATATTTTCACGTGGAACCTTTGAGATAGGTAGGGTTGGCTTGAAGTGTTATAGTGTCTTTAAATAGCTTTGGTCAGACTGTTCTTTGTGATGAAGTTGGAGAAGAAGAGGAAGTGTTGAGAGGGAAATTTGAAGTAATTGTTCAATTTGTGGTTGTAAATATGTGGATGAGGCTTTACACAACAGGTCTTTTTCGTTAGAAGTGTATGTCTGGCATTCAATCTGTCTGTTCAATAGCTTTCATTATGTGCTGTCAAAAGATACATACAACCACTTCGAGCTTTTTAGGTGGATTACCAGATTGAGGAAATTAAAATTGCCCTGCTTTCTTTTATAAATACTTTAAATAGCAGAAATCCTTATTAATTGCCCTCGATAGCTGATAATACAGTTTGCAAATTTAATATAAAGATCCCAACCAATGAGCTGGTCTCTTTCACGAGTTAAAACAAGAAACATATATGCTTTTATCATTTGTCATTGTAACAATGAAGATCTTTTTCCGTTGTAACTTGCTGTGATTTACAATGAGGCTTCCGGTTGATCTGTTAGTTTTTTAAAAATTGAAATTTGCTTAGCGTCCCTGCTTGTCTCAAATAGTTTATATATCCTGGTTCAGATATATGTTGGTATAATCAATTAATCAGGCTCAAGAGACCCAAAGCCAACCTCACCTGATGTGTTAAAGTCAGGTTGCATAGATTTCAAAGAGAGATGGGTCACATTTTAGCATCGCCGACCGCCTAACCAGTGCTGACAACTAGATTGCTAGTGCAAATAACCAGCAGAGCATATCTGCTGGCAGCTTCTAATGCCAGACCTCATGCAGGTAATTTCCAAATCTCACATAGGTCATCTGATCAAATGCTTACAACTCAAGAGTGAGTTGAGTACCACTCTTGAGTATTAATGCTTACAGCACATTAATAAGTTCTTTCTAATGTATTTTTCTCACTTCATAATTTGAATCTATGTGTTCATTTTCAAATATCAACATCTTCACCCGCTGGGTTCTAGTTTTAATAAGATTTCACTTTTAAGCATAAAAAAAATTCAATCCAGCATTATAATGGATCAACATTCTACTGAACAGTTTCACTATGTCAGCTCTGTAGCTCGCTATTACCTCTTGACCAAAAGAGAACAGGAGTGTGCTATATATATATATATATATTAATCTCATGTGTAAACTATATCCATAATAAGTTTTTTTTTTTTTTTTTTTTGTTATTTATCATGTCATGCCGCCTAACTCCATGGTAGCTAGAATCCTTAGCAACCTTTACTTGATTTTCCTGGGGCTAAATTATCAGTATGTGGTTCAGTTAAGACCATAACAAGCTAAGGGTAGCCACACCTTTACCTTAAAATATAACGTTCTACCCTCTTAACTGCCAAAAAAATACAAAATTTCAATGTTACATAATTACTATTACTGAAACTCTTCTGTGGTAAGAAAATTAGATAGCTAATTTGATTTCCTGCTTTTATATTAATTAAAACTAGACAGACTGTTGCATCTTGGGGGCTTCCTTTACCAATAAAAGATGGCAACTGTTCAGTATTTTATTTTTATCTATTTCATACAGCTACAAGGGAATTGAATTAGTGGAACCTACACATAAAAGGGAAGATACCTTTGCTCATTTTTCCTCAAGAGTTTTTCTCTTCAATCATCTCATTTTCAGGTGTTTAACTATGTTTGCTCACAAATGCTAGCAACTACCTTAATCATGAATTTTATGTTACTGAGATGAAATAATAGTTCTCTCAAAAAGCAATGAAAAAAGCCCCTTCAATTATTTGATCAGAGGCTAGCATGGTAACCTTTCATAAATTATCTGCATACAATCATAAAAAATCATTTAATGTATAATCATGTACGGTATCAAATCTTTTGCTAGAGTATAAGAATAATAATACCTTCTAATTTACCTGCAGAGCTTATAGCATTGAATTTTCTTCCATAAAACTACAGTGAAATTGATTTAATTTCTATGAAAATAATCAATCAATATATGATCCTGCATTTGAACTTTTATCTTCAAATCACCCCCTTTCCCAAAAGAAACTCAAAGAACAGATCAATAAATGCCTTTGATTTTTATTTAATACCCTTATTAAACAATTTCATCATCACCTTATGACAATTCAAAACAAAACCACAAACACAATAGACTATGGATTTAACATGAGGTTCTTAAACATTCTTACTATCACAAAACACACATGCAACTAGCATGTCATGGTGACAGAAAAATGTTTTAGACCATTGATTATAGTTCACAGGCCAGGTTCATAATCCCACTGAATCAGTGGTTAATGCATAAATATTGACTTGGTGTATACTAGGACATTAAGCATTAGCACTGTATATGTATATTCCAGAAATTCCTTTAAAAGGACAATTAAATTTCAGACGGAGCTTAAAAAGTTTCAAGAGTCTAGCTGTACTAAAGGATAACGCATGGTTGATTAGCTGTATACAGTGGTATGAAATAACAGTGGGCACACCATGTAAAGCACTAACTATTTCACCGGTAAACTTAGCGCGTGACATGCACTACTGATATTCGACCAATGAACTTAGCAGTTGCATATACCACTATCATTTCACCCAATGAATGTAGCGCGTGAAACATACAACTGATTTCACCAATGAAGTTATGGAATGAGAAAGGATTACATACCTGGCATAGCCCAATATTAGATGTACCTAAAAAGGTAAATCAATGTGATGCATATCCCTAATTTGTTACTATAAGGACAAGTTAAGAACCTCAATGGATTCAGCTGCCACTGTTGGTCTCCTAGACCATGCCTCTCTTAAATTTATAAGAACAGTCTGATATTCACCTAGCATTCTTGGTAAGCTCTGCCTCTCCCATCTTTTCTTCCCTTCTACCAGGAGGATGAATATCTCACACGTTTTTTTCTGTTTGAATTGATTTAACCTTTATTAAAATCTTTGTATTTGTAGTACTCCATCAGTGCTTTTCCATCATGATTAGTGATTAAAGAAAGCATTTTCTTTCGACCTAGAATTTGATCATTCATCCAGTAGACAGAGTTGATATTTAATTTCTAGTTCATCTTGGATTTAATTGATAGATTTTTATAATTCCTTGGATTCGATCATCCCTTTAGCAGATATATTTTATATTTTTATTTGCAACATACGATTTGTATCATTTTCTTTTCTCCTTACATGATTCAATAAGTTGAAATCTGCCTCACTATCGATTGGAATTAGTCTCTTCAGATTAATGTAGGACAAATTCTGTCAAATAGTTAATTCACTTCCTTTAACATTTGTAGGTCTTATGTAATAATAAATTAAGTCGAGTGGATGTGATTGTATTAATTGATCAAATGAATGAGTAGTCTCCAAAGGCTCAAGTACAATCCTAAAGAGTGAAAAGTCATTCACAATGCAGGTTCAAGTATTGTAAACATGCAGTTTGTTTTGTAACATTGATTTCTTTGCAGCTTTGTTAAACAAAACATCAAATCAAGACTTATTCTGGCATATAACTAGCAAGTTCAAATTAAACTTTTTATATGATAGATAGTAGCTTCTTCACTCTTATCAGTAGCAGCTCTATTTTATATATTCGAATATAATTTTTATAAGATAGTTTTTCAATTGAGATTAAGTATATGAAATAAATATCAAATCTAGAGGGGTTATTACAGGCACAAAGTTTAAAACAAATTTTGCTGTTTTGAGAATTATATAAAATGTATTATCATATTTGGAGTTTTCCGATTTTGGAGTTATATTGTGGTTATCACAAAAAAGAGTGACAGACTGTAAAAAATTAATTACATGTGTTTTGTTTTCCTGATCTTTTAAATTATACTGGCGATGGCAATTTCACAGTATATAAAAAAAAGGACAATTCAATAGCATATGCTAATTGATTTTCTACATGATTTGACATCACAAGGCTAGTTAATAACCACTCAACCTATTTGCCACTCTGGATTAGTTTTTAAAGAAAGGATTTTACAAATTTCTGAACTGATTAGTGCATTTAATCAGATGTTAGACAGTTAAATTCCTAGATTGCAGGTTCAGAAATAACAATGGTTTCCATTGGATGATTACATTGTGATGGATGTGAAGAAGATCAGAGCACTATACTTTTGTTCTATTGAATTCAAATCTTCCTGTAAGTTCAATGTGGTTCATTAATTATGATTCTCTAGTAAACAGAAGGTATGGTTCATTAATTTATTGTTTTTGCTGATTTGATATCTGATATGCATTTTTTTTTTTTTTTTGAAATATCTGATATGCATATTTAAGTTCAAAATTTGGATATATGGTAGAAAGCCCTAATTCAGGTCCACCTTTAGCTAGATGCTCTCAATGCTATCACACAAGCTAATTTTATATAACCGTATAGCATCAGTAGAGCAATTTCAGCTTTAACAGTTAGGACTGAGTTACTATTACCTTCACTAAATAGTCTTAATACCTTCAAATTTAGCAAGTCTAATCTCAACTCTACCCTATGGAAATGAACTTAACATGGCTTCAAGTATAATCCACCAATGTTGGCAAAGATCTAGCTCTTACTTTAGCCTTAGCATAAGCTTGTTTTTAGGGAATGATACTAATTTAGTAAGGAAATTTTGAGCCAGAAAACCTAGCAAAGAGCCTAAATTCAAACATTTGAACACCTAGAAAAAGGGCCGGGAAATCTATGGGACCTTGCGCTAGATGGATTTGGTACTCAGACAGTCAAGCTGGTTAACTCTTGAGGAAGGAAGAGAGAGACAGAATTCTCAGCAGACAACCATGAACTTGTCGTTGAGATAAATATATTACAAGAAAAGATAACAACCTAAAACCTCATTCCAAAACAAAAAAAATAAAGCAAGAATTACTATATTTAAGCTATCGCCAACCACACTTGAATAAAAAAAAAAAATCACCTTTTGTTAACCATCTATGCCCATTTGACAAGGTTGTCTTTGTTTCCAAAATTGTTACTGCTTTTGCACCTGCCTGTTGTTGTTTGGGATTTTAATAAACCAGAGTCTTGTTCCCATCAAGACACTAAGAAACAGCTCCTTCCTACAATTTCACCTCCTCCTCTTTAGCATGTCCTCATCACTTCTGTTTCAAAATTTGTAGTAGATTCTTTAGGTATTTTCATAAAATAAAAAGAAAAAGAGACTCATAATGTTCTTGAGAACTTAAACAGCCAGGTTCTTCCACGTAACAAATCTCATTATTTAGTACATGGTTCTCCCACTTATTAGTTCCTTTTAATCTTTTTCAATTTAAATAGCAAATTCCACATGTACAGCCAGCTCCTTTAT